TGAAGGGACAACGTATAGAGAGGAGATGAACTATACCACCTGTCTCTTACTCCCTTAAAAAAGTGTACGAAAAAAATACAATTTGAATATATTCTCCAAAAAAAAAAAAACTATCTCAACATAATAGGTAGACCTAAAGGAAGAGTAACTCAATGATTTTTTTTTTTCTTTCTTTGAACCCACAACGTATTTATAAAGAGGAAGAGAGAGAACCCACATCGTTTTTATAAAGAGCAAGAGAGAGATTCAATGATATTAAATATTTAGGTAGTTAAGAATTCATTGTGAGATTCGAATTGGTTTAAAAATATTGCTGTTTTTTTATATATAAAAAAGGTTGAAATTTTTATTATTTATTTCATTGATGTATACCACGTAATCTTTTGGATGGACCACTATTTTATATATTTGAGTCTTTACGTTTTCTTTTAATTAATTACAATCCTATATTGGGGGCGTTTTTTATTTTTCTTTGAAAAATAATCATATACCTTGATTCACAATTCTTGTTATTTACTAATTAATTCTTGTGTTTAGTACCACTGTTGTTTTCTCATTTTATGCTCTCAATAAATCTATGATATGTTTTGTGCCATGATAACAACATAAACATTGTTACTAGATTTATTGAAAGTTTTAACATAAATTTGTCAAGTATTACTCTAATGACGCTAATAAGGCTATAAAATTATTATTTAATAAACTTTAATATATCTATACAATAGCTGCAAATCATAACCGTATCTAGTGTTATCTTTATATATCTGATTTTTTCAGTACTTTTCTTTAACCAAATCCGATCACGATTCTATAGCCTTATTTTTTGGCGATCCATAATTTTTGCCTCATTGTTTTTTCCCATTTGTTGAAATAAAACCGATTTTATTACCGATTTTTTGGTATGCAGATATTTAACTATGCCGATTTGCTAAATATGGTTATGGCTAAAAATGTTTGTATACTATGAAACTATTTATTTTTGTTACAAGGATGTCACAATGAAATTCCAAATGTCAAATTGGATGGCTGGAGATATATCACAAAGTTGCCGAATTTTTATTTTCAAGTTTGAGTCTAGTCAATGACTCTCAACACCACCCAATTTGAAATTTGATGACTGCAATGATTGTGACCACCCAATTTGAAATTTGATGACTGCAATGATTGTGACCTCTTTGTTTTTAAAATAAATGGTCTTTTTGTATACTTTTTCTTAAAAGAAAGGTTCGAGAATAGAGCCCAACATCAGCCTATTAGAAAAGAGAGAAACCCAAGAGAGCCGAGGGAAAACCTAAAAGAGAAGAAATGATTAGTTACAGAGGTAAAAAAGAAATCCTCTTGAAGGGAACTCAAGCTAAAGAAAGAGGCTCTTGAAAGAAGGGTTTACTCCACCAAACCATGTAAATTTTATTATTTTATTAGTGGATTGTCTGCCTCTTCTATGTGGATGTAGCCTATTTAGGTAAGGAAAATTGTTTCATTCAAGTTGGACTGCATTTCTACATACACGGTCCAGTGTAATGCATCCATCTTAAAGATAGATACAAAGAAGAAAATAACTCTATCATGAGAAAGAGTTCAACCTTAAGAAAAGAGCTTGAGCTTAATTGGTTAGCGCTTGACTATTTGCAACGCTACACCCTAGGCTCAATTCCTATCAAAAGCAGGGGCCTTTTGACTCACCAAAACAATTATACTAAAGAGTTCAGCCTAAAGTGACTTAGTAGAGAGAGTTTAGATTAGGGTGAGATTTGTATAAGGTGTCCACCTTATACCTTCCTTATAAATAAGGCATATCTTTACATTTTGTTGGAAGATGTAATTCTAATATCGGAAAAATTACGATGGCTTGAAAACTCATGTTCAACCCTAATTATGAAATTTAATATTGTAAAAAAGGTACATATTGATTATGTCTATAAACAAATGAAAATCTTGAAAATAAACGGTCTAGATAACTTGTTAAAAGAAGCACTATTTTTAGGACTTGAAATTCTTTTCTTATTTATATTCATAGAGAGAAAGAGAGAGAGAGAGAGCTAGCTAGCTGTGGGACTTATATGTCTCGTTTTTTTTAAAAAAGGGGCAGTTTGTATCGAGTTGAGGTTCTAAACAATCAAAGTAAAGCGCACCTTCAAATAATATTGAGAAATGTGCTTTCAATGCTGAAAATTTTTGTGATAGTTTTAAAAAATATTTTCATCATTAATTATCAAATTTAAAGCTTAAAAAATAGTGTAGATCTAGTAGATATATGAAAACTTGAATATCTTGAAAATTGATGGTCCAAAAATGCATTACAAGATGTATTGTTTCCAAAACTTGAAATTTATTTTTTTTCTCATGTCCATACATCTTGAGGTCAAGATGTTCAATTTGAGGAAATTTGAGTATCAAACAACCTCTTCTAATAAATTTTTTGAGGTGGGTTCTAATTTGAGTGCTTAGAGCCTCGACTCTATATAAACGTTTTTCTTGAAAGAATGCGAAGCTCTAAAAATGGCAAACAGGAAAAGTATTAAAGAAGAAAGTGGGCATCGAACTCTATAGTATATATTGAAAAATATAGGAAAAATTTAAAATAACCCCCAAGTCTAGACTTTTTATGCAAGTTACCCTCAACAAAACAACTTTTCTCACTTTTTTCCCTAAGATATACTTTTTTAGCAATTACCCCCAAGTAAAAAAAAGTACATTTTTTTTGACGAAAATATCTTTTTTTGTACATAAAAATTTAATTTTGGCCAGACATTCACATGGGCTTACATGAGCTGTCGGACTGCTTATTGACATTTTAAACTAAAAAAAGTGGTGGATTGCTCTTTGACATTGCCGAACTGCACTTTGGGCCTGTTGAGTCTGCATGGGCCAATTGCCGGACCACTCTTTGGTAGTGCCGGACCGTATGGGCCTATTGTCAGACCGTCCTTTGTTAGTGCCAGACCACCACTTATACTGCCAAACTGTCACTGTTATTACTGAACTGACATTACACTGTTGGACCGCCCTAAGAATATGTCGGACTGCCTCTTTGTGGGAAAGAGGAGAGAGAGGCGTAGGTAAAAGTAGGGGAGGGTAGTTTAGATTTTATTTATTTATTTTTGGGTTGGAGGGTATTTATTAAGAAAGTATATTTTGGGATAAAATATAGAAAAAATAGATTAGCGCATAGAAAGTATAGTCTTAGGTTATTTGTAATTTTTCCAAAACTTTAAGTTAGCAAATAGGATGAGGAGTACTGGCATACACGGAGAGATTGATTTACAAATGCAGCGATAGAAATAATGTCCTTCTCAATCGATCGCCATAAATGAGCTAAAGATATTGTTTTTGGGATTTTTTCAATCATTATCATTATTATCATCATCAGAGCCTAATCCTAACTGATTCCCTCAATAATATTTATATATTCACATGGGACTTTTGCAATGGAACCCATCCTTGTATAATGTGGTGCTAAGCACTTCGTAGTTTCAAGAGAAATTGCAATTTCAGTTGTCAAACAAACGCCCTGAGTGATAATGGCAAGTTTCTGTTGCTTTGTGTTCTTGTTTGTCTGGGGGTTTTATTTCCCGTGTTAGTTGCTTCGCACCTGCTAGAGGAAACCCGCATGCCCTTTAAGGTTTGTACAATGGATGAGTGATAATGTTCGTGTCCTTTAGGCCATTTTCAGCAGTGGCATGAATATGGCGGCCTCATGGATGATGCCTTGGAATTCATCATCAAGGATCACGGGCTAACCACTGTTGCCAATTACCCCTACCAAGCAATCGATGGCACTTGCAACATTTAGAAGGCATCATCTCACGCTGCAAACAAGGAGAAGGCACTCCTCAAGGCTGTCGCGAAACAACCAGTCTGTCGCTCTAGCCACTAGTAGTATGAATTTCCAGTTATATTCTTCCGGTGTCGTCAAGGGTGAATGTGGCACTGAAATGGATCATGGAGACACTGTTGTTGGTTATGGAACTACCAGTGATGGAACCAAATACTGGCTGGTTGAGAACTCCTGAGGTACGCAATGGGGGAGAGGAAGGGTACATACGGATCGTGTGCAATGTTGCTGTGAAGGAAGGTCTCTGTGGCATGGCGATGATTGCTTCCTAACCCACACCATAGTGATCACCTTGATCTCCTATCTGTATATACTCTTATGTTGTATCATGCTCACTGCATACGAGTTGTGCTTGTAAAAAACTATATTGTATAAAATAAATTGCTACAATTGTGAATTGCTCATATTGCCATCTCTCATCGTTATCATGAGTGCTCTAAAATTTGGTAACAAGGGCCTAAATGTCACGAATCGTCTCTTACAACATCATGCAACCATTTATTTCCAATTTGTTTCTACAGTAATTACCAAAATATTAGAAAGATCAATAGTCCATCTTGCTGGTGATATTGGAAGTGTAATAATTGCAACAACAGTTAACATGCCATTGTAAATTCGTACAATTTATTTTTTGCGTGATTTGTGAAGCGGCCGTATAATGGCAAGGATTCCAATCCCACGACATGCTGAAGCAAAAAGATAAAATAAAATAAAAATAAAAAGCCGCTGCATGGTTGGAGTTTTCACCCAGGGACTGGTCGATAGTTGGCTTGAAGGTACTTATTAGGAATATCCAGTAAACAGATTCATCTCAATGGTTTCTCTTTTAGTTAGAGGATGGTTTCGAGCAAAATTACTAAGTGGATCTTGGACATTCTGTTAACTGTGAATTTGTAAAAATGTCGACTGCGTGACTGTCATTCTTAACAATGAAAGAAACATTTACCTTCGAAATGCTAATGAACTCATTCAATTTTTTTTTTGGGGACTCGTTCGATTCACCATATGTGCTAGATAGTGAGTTTTAAATTAATTAGTTGTCAAGAGCAATGGCAGACATTTGATGCTGCCAATTGGATTGCAATGGTAAAATGATTCTAGCCTATTCACAGGGATTGGTGAAGGTTCAAGATTTGAAGCTGAATTTCAAAATGATCCTGTTCTTTTGTTTTTGCAAGTCAATGAAATTCTTTGAAAAGAAAGAATTTTACATGCACAATGAGGAAGAGTTGAAGCCCAATACAGCTAAGAGAAATGACAGGATCAAAGATCAGCTATAGCTGCCTAAACCAGCCACCAGACACTCGATGCGAAGTTAGGAATCCCAAACTTGCCCAAGGTTTGTTTGGGAGGGCTTGAATCCCAAAACAGAGGCAGCACTCCAAAAGCAACAATTATTAAGGAAACTAAGGTGAATTATTGGGGATCAAGCATTGGGGTATGACGCCATCATCGCAATTCCACAAAGTCCTTCAGCCGCATGGACATCACGCTGCATCTTTATGTACCCTTCCTCCCCCCAACTCTGGCCCCACGAGTTCTTCACCAGCCAGTAGTTGGTGCCATCACCTTCTTTTCCATAGCCAACAGCTGTGACCCCATGATTTAAGTTGGTTCCACAATCACCTGTAAAGACACCACCAGAGTAGAACTGGAATGCAGCACTTGCTTCTATACCTACGGAGACAGGCTGCTGAGCAACGGCCTGTTGTAGTGCCTTCTCGTTGTTTGCCGGAACGTCCTTATAACCTTTGATGGTGGCCACATGGTACGCCAACGCGTTGCTGTTACAGGTACCATCAGCAGCTTGGTAGGGGTATTTTTTCTCAGTGGTGAGGCCATGGTGCTCTATGAATTGGAATGCGTTATCCATGGTGCCTCCACTACAGCCCTGGTCATCGTCATCGATGTCGCAGTCCACCAACTCTTGCTCAGAGAGAGATAACAAATTTCCAGTCTTGAGCTTGGTTATGCCTTCTATGGCTGCCACAGCTGAAAATGCCCAACAGCATCCTGCATTGATAAGAAATGGGTGTTAGTTTGTGGTGGGGGAAGGGGATTTTCATATGAATAAAAATTTAATCCAGAAGGATTACATTGCTCTGCTAAACCAAATTCTTCATTTGGTACCATTAGTTGAATAACTTGTTTGTGGAATTTGATGGACCCAAATCCAAGATAAAAAAGGAAAAATGAAAGGAAAAAGACTATATGGAGCTAAAAAGGAGTGCTATGAATCAAAATAAAAATATGCTCCAAAACTGCATCTAGTCAGTCTATTTTGTTGAGCATTACACACATACATAGACACACATATATTATCATCATTATCTAAGCCTTATTTCAACTATTTACGGATAAACATACATATATATTAGGGTTTGCATTCCCCATTTGCCATATGAAATCAATCAATGGATACAATAAAAGACATTTTGAAAAAATTTTATATCACAAAAGTTCTCCTAACTAGGTGTTCTGGTCTTGGGACAAAATGCACGATTTTGTCTCACAGCACCACCATACATGAGCTCTCACTAAACTGTCATGAATTTTTAGAGTTTGTACCACATTGTCCCTGGTCCTTGACAGGAGTCACCGCACCTTTCAGTCTCCAATCCACGGCAGATGGCACCGATCCATTTTCATACCTGAACAGTGTCGCCTCAGCGACCCTGTCGGCCCTAGCATTAGCATTAAGACCCAGGTACATGGCCTTGAATTCTTCATAAGTTAGGTCCGCAAACTTATTGGCACTCAGAGTGTAGGGACGATTCTCTCTGTTCACAGAGTCTATAAACCTAATATTCTCTTTGAAGATTTCCAAGCGCTGAGCTTTCTCCTCGTCATCATGGTACACACGACCATGGTCCACCATCCATTGCTCGAACCTTAAGGACAAGTTGGGCGGGTTGAGAGCGCGACTCGAGGCTGAAGGGAACCTAAACCCCACATGAAACAAGGCCAAACACAGGAAACAGAATAATGGGGGAATAAACCTTGCCATTAGTAGTAGTTAGTGAGTTATATACAGAGAGAATGTTTTCAACTAGCTAAAGAGAAGAGTGAGAGAATGTATGATGTCCTCAAGCTTGAACTCAGTGACTAAGTACCAGTTAACTGGGTTCTTGAGGTGGTAGCAACAGTCTAAAAGGAAGGCTTTTATAGCAAATATTTGGACTGTCACTTGCACTTATTTCTCTACTGCTGTCACTACATCTACGTTGGTCTTGGAGACCTGATCAATTAACTAATTCCTATATCACTGCCATCTCCCATTGACTTGAACACTTCAACAACACCTCTCTCTCTCTCATGTTCCAAGCAACCGTCGTCGATTTCCACGTAGCAATTTGAGTACGTTTATTTCGGGCGCCCATGAAATCCCTCGTGTTAGAAATGGAGTAATTGATAGGAACAGGGTCATGATTGTAGCACTCAATCAGTTTTATCCTTCTTAGATCAATCCCTCCATTCCCACCATTAACGCATCAAAAAAATAAAAATAAAAATAAAAGTCAATCATTCATCAGCAAACTGCCCACAAAAATCAATCGTTCATTAGCAAACTGCCCACAACTGATGAGATTCTTTTTTTCTTTTGCAATATCAAAAAAAGAGATTGGAACTATCTTAAAATATTATTATAGGGGTTAAAAGACTACAAATTGTACTTAAGGGTATGTACTATTAAATTTCATATCAATCAGGTGCATCATCAAAAAAATAGCTAAAAAATTCTCAAATTGCCTCATTGGATTAGTCTCTCTTTAGGGTGAAAATGATTAAAGTACTTTTAATTTTTAAAGCTTCTTACCAAACGGAGGCAATTTGAGAATCTTTTAACATTTTTATCAATGACATGCTTGATTCATAAAGAAATTTAAATGCATACCCACTTTTTTGGTTGAAATTTAAAAGTATATTCTCAATTGTTATTTGGAACCTTTTATCCCCTTTAACTTTTTCTACTTCTTTTTTTGTTTTTTTTGCTCTAGTCCTCCATTATATGCTTAAGGTGAAGGCACCTTTTAGATCACATGATTTACTCAATCCTTGCACCGGCAAAAATCTAATGTTGACAAGGGAGTGCTGATGTGACATATAGCTAATTGCTTAGTCTTGCGACACATGTTGACCTTTATTAAATAAATAATGATAATTATAAAAATTATTGTTGAATAATAAAGGTCAAAAATAAATAAATAAATAAAAACGATGAGCTAGTAAATTTTTTATTCTTAAATTTCCCCCTCTCACTCTCCCCACTAATACTTCTTCCCCCTCTTTCCTCTCTCTTTGGCTCTAGACCCGATCCGTACCTATAAACCGTTGAAGATGAAATACTTTAAGCTATATTCGTTTGGTTATATTAATGATCATATACAATAAGAATTCGTAGTCATCTTTAACTATTAAACAACAAATCAGATAACTTGAAATCTTTTGGCAGGTGATTGTGACTTTGTTGCCAATAATATGGGTGTATGATGGTAAAAAAATAGGCAAAAAAAGAAAAAGAAACAAGAAAGCTTATAGTGGCGGTGGCAATGAACCTGACCAGACCTGCGACTCGACGGGTATAGGTATAAGTTCAATTTTTGGACTCAACAGGTCAGGTCTGGGTCCAAATCCTAAACCCGAATACTATTCGGGCCTGGGGCTGCTGGGTTCACCCAGACCCGACCCGCTGCCTCCCCTAACCATGGTGAATAATACCCTTGGTAGCACATGAGCATAATGCTACCTATTTTTGTTGTCTTTTGAGCATGGTAAATAATACCCTTTGATAGCACATGAAAAGTATGCCACCATAAAGATATCTTCAAGATGGTACCAAATTGTATAGGAATAATATGAAATTTGGGATTTAAACTTTTTGAGGCCCTTCTTATCATCCCACCATTTTTTAGCTCTGTCGTGTATCACTCTCTAGGGGTCCCTTTGTAAATTGATCCCTCTTTATTATCCTACTAGGCCACTATATTTGCATATCTTGAGCTCCCATTGTCAAAAGGGTGTAGTTGGCATATAGATGCATTCGTGGTATATAATTTTGATGTAAAATGTTTTTAGCATTATTTCAAATTTTATTTTTATATTTAATTATAAATTTTAAATTTAAAAAATGATTAAAATCAAGTAGATCTATAAATATATGAAAATCTTGAAAATGAATGGTGTAGATAATATGTTGTAAAATGCACTATTTCTGAGACTTAAAATCTTTTTATTTTTCATGGTCATACATCTCGATATCGAGATTATCAATGAAAGAGTTTTTCAACATTAAAACTATCTTTTCTGATGGATTTTTGAGGTGCATCTGTAGTTCTATCTTATAAGGTTGCATCCTTATATAAATTTTTTCCTTTTCAAAATGGCTTTATTTTGAAGGGTATGCTTCAGAGTTCACTAGTTTAAACTTTGGGCTGTCCGACCTTATAAACACGGAACAACCTAACAGATAAGGCTATTTGGTATTTTGATATCGGACACACCTTTGAAACGAAGAAAACAAATATAAAATTAGGGAATTTCCAATTTGTCCGGTGATAGAAATGTAAAACAGCAGGGCAATTCTGAAAAAAAAATACCTAAACGTAGGGTGATCTCCTAGTAATTTCCACAAAAATATAGAGTATTTCGTAATAATGGGAGGGGATAAATTTTTATTAGGACTTTTAGTTTCTTTACCAGCACATGAATGTGGAAAAGTGTTGCGTGCGTGTCAGGGCGGTGGGGGTGGGAGAAATTTTTACAATTGCGTCACAGGAGGCATAAAACATCTATTTTAAAAATGGATGCACACGTGTGGTTCCTCTAAAAAAAATTAAAATCATTGGTCTACCCAATTTCTCTATGAAGTTATTATTCACGGTCTCCGTAATAGACATATTCATGATCTTCATATTAGAAATTATATATTCTATAAAATTAAAGTCCTAAATCCATCTCAAAAACGGATTTTTAAGATAGAACTCATTTCTACATATTTGTCTAGGACTCATATAAACCTTGTCCCAATACTATTTTACAGTTTTTACTTTTGTGTTTTTTTTATGGCAAGTTCTTAGGTTTCTAACTGGAAATGAATATTTTTCTACGAATTACAAACCTTCAAGACATTTAGTGCCGGGAATTTACACCGACCTGACCTAAGACCCGACTACCCGACTTGGTTTGGGTTCAAGATTTGGACCCAGCAGGTTGGGTGTGCAAATCTTGGACCCGAATAGTAAATCGGGTTGGGTCAAAGGTAAGGTTGAACCAACCAAGTTATTTTAAAATATTATATAACATTTTTTATATTTAAATTTACAAAGGTTAATTTAGCAATATATATATATATATATATACTATTTTATCTTCTTTCGACTATATTTTTCATTTTTTCTTTTCAAATCTTCTTATTAGTCTTAAAATGAGAAAATTGATAAATTATTGTCAAAATCTTCTTATTAGCTATTTACATGTTTTTTTGATAATTTTTAGTAATTTTAAGTATATGTTTTAAGTAGTTTTTTAATTTTTAGTTTTTTTTAGTTAACTATGTATAGACCCTATATAAGTAGAAAAAATATGGTATGTTCCTTTTATATAGAAATATTACATCTAACGTCAGTTAACGTGACTTTTTGTTTTTTTTTACAAAATTAACCTTCGGTCCAAAAATACTATCCTCGAGCCATATTTTAATATTTTTGTTTGTTTTTTATTTAGTAAACCAGTCCTCGGACCGATCGTACTCTGTTTTTTAAAAAATACAAAGGTTCGAGTTCTCCATCATGCTCCTTATTTTTGAAAAAATTAGAGTTCGAGAATGAGAACCTGGACGAATCAAGACAACGGTCATGAGCCCTAACATTGCATAGTAGCTGTATTATTAGTTCTTGAGAGAGAAACTGCGAAGCACCGTGTCTTGGCTCCACCCAACGCCTTACGCATGGCACTTTCTCTAACGACGTTTAGTGGTTTTTTTGGCTCACCAGGGCTTGATTTAAACCATTTTGCTCCCACTGTGCAAAGCCACGAAGTAAACCAAGGGTTAGAGAGAGCTGAGCGGCTATTGCTGGAATCCGGCCAAATATTTTTGCCCATTGCCGGTGAGCTTATCACCTCCTGCCCCAGTATAACATGATGGCTTCCTTTTTAGGTTTTGTGAGTTACGGAGCACAGTCCTTGCTTCTTTGGTGGCGGGGAGCCGTTTTCTCTCTCCTAACAAGCGGTATGAGGTTCTTGGACCGCTATTTTTTCCAAAATAATAACAAGTACTTTGAGGATGCGACCTCAGACCGTATTTTCGGTTTGAGGATTTTAACCTCGAACTGCTCCTATTAAATAAAAAAAAAAGAAATTAAATATGATATTATCAGACTGAAGGGTAATTTTGTTTTAAAAAACAAAGATCTCACTGACGACTTTGAATGTCGCATATAAAGGTAGCATACTGTATTTTCCTTACATATATAGGGTTCGTACATAATTAAGCCTTATTTTTTTTATTTTTTCTATTTTTAATTCGTTAGGTCAAGTCCAAATAAATTCCTAATCCGTGTCCATCCCATGTACAGATTTTGGTTCGGGTAGCAAACCCTACCGGACCCGTTCCCACCCCTAGACATTGGAATACGGGAAAAAAAGAAGTTTGGTGATAGCCAAATCACTGGGCCCATATTTTATTTTAAAGGTTAAGGTATTATGGGAAATAGAAAATTGACTTTTTTGAGAAGCAAAAAAATGATCGTTATAAGAGAGTAAAGGATGACATAATACCCATCATTTTGAGGGTCACCACTTTGGAAGTCATGAGAATGAATCTCCAATATGGAGATGGTCTCCAAGAGAGAGACATGGCTTCCAAAAGAGATGCGGTATTTCCATGAGTTTTGAGTTGGTTAACTTTCACTTTTAGAGAGAGAAAATTTTATATTGCTCTTGAAGTTATCTTTTCGGTAGTAGTATTGCGGTAGGAAAGAGGTTGATCGACGATATTGCTCGGTAGGGAGAGCGGGTTTAGAAGAGAAGATTGGTGATGATTTTTTACCGATGTTTAGAGATAGGTATTATCTCTTGTAACTTAAAACTGTAATATAATGTATTTTTAATTGTCGAGGCCGTGGATGTAACCCTACGAAGTAAACCACGTAAATCGTGTGTTGTTGTGGTGTGCTTTTTTTTGTTTGCGTTATTTTTTGCACTCGATTTATAGCTATATTTTGAAAAAAAGACTTATGTGATCTTTTACCGGGGCATACATTTTTTTTTTCTTCACCCCTCTCCTTTGGCAAAAGATCTTACATGTGGTCTTTATTATAAGATAAATTTCAAAATAAAATCCACATAATAATAAAACTAAGATCTTAACAATTTGATGCCATTGAAACAACTATGCACTATGCTTGAGAATAAAAGATAAGATTGCAAGAAACAAAAGGAAGAGTGTCAAAAATTACCTCAATCAGGCTTATTACACCCCACACCGAGTCACCATCATCCTATATTACGGGATCAACGGGCTAGAAATCAAATTTCGGCCAAGCCACACCAATGGAACATGAACTCCTTTGATGACAAATTCAAACCCTAAGTTTGAGAAAAATAGATTCTTTTTTTGCTAAATCCTAAAACCCTTAGCCATAAATCCATATTTGAGAGATAGGTGAGAGAAGAACTCTATAACCTAAACCCTTAGGTTTTTTCACAATATGGGAGAGGGAGATCAAACATGAGAGAGAGAAAGATAACGTGTAGAGATTTTTGGTAGAGACAATCTCTTTTTTATAAGCTTGAACAAGGTTAGGATTTCTTAGGGTTTTCTTTGGCTTGTCTCTTCTTGTGAGATTGAACATAGACCGTCGATTAATGGTGACTTATGGGGTGAGAGATCTGAGCCATCAATTCCATAAATGGGCCATCAACATTATGGAAAGTGCATGGACCATTATCCCCCTTTCTTTAACCATTTTCCCATCAATAGAAATCAGATAAATTAAATCTAATTAAAATATTATGCATTTCATAATCTTTCACAAAATATTCCAAAGATATATCAAATCAATATACACTTTCAATATTTGATCAATATATGGTCAAAATATTCCATATCTTATTTAGCCATATGTCATAACAGAATATTACCAAAACATAAAATAACTTAAACTCCAAGAAAGAATGAAATGGGTGGGGCGTGCCACCCGTGTGTGGCACATGTGGGCGCCACCCACTTGACACATGGTCGGCCCATGTGCACTATGGGCCCCTCCATGATATTTTATATAATTTTAAATTATCAAAAAAAAATTTTCAAACATTATTTGAATTTTATAATTTTGTAAAATCAATATCTTCATTTTTATAAGTCCAAAAAAAATTGTCGATAAAATATCAAATGACTCATAAAAATTCGAATAATAATTATAAACTAATTTTTATCATAAAACAAACATAATTAAATTAACTTGATGGGAAATGAATCTATATGGTTAAAGAATTTAATATGCAATCATGGAGCACTTCACTTTCAATGGTAGACTACAAACCACACTTGCCTTATCGAACCCACCCAGTGTTTCTCATGACCCACAGTCCAAGCAGAGGCTCATTAGCGGGTCACCAAAGTCTGGCGGATGAGCCAAGAGGTCGCATTCCCAACCTTTGGATTATAGGTCCTCCCCTAGAGACAAATCAAGGTCATCAAGACCTTATGCGACCACCGCTTTATTGCGCATAGGGGTATCTCTCGCACATGCATACGCTTCACCCTAAAAGGTGGATTTCTGGCTTTTCCGAATGATCTATCGATATACATGCCGTGTGATGGTACATGGATGAGGTTTTGGCCCGTGTCTTTGTAGGCCATCATCACATACAAGGGTCACACAGTCCCTCGACTCACTTATCCGGACATGTTCTCTGACCTCATCAAGGGCTAACTCATAAACCCTCATCCGTTTGTTCTTCATGCTCAGGTAACATGGGTTTTCCCAACCGGCTGGTCTAGATCGTTAAGCACAAATCGGTATCAGCAAACCATCTTTTACTTATTATAGTCCACGAGGGACTACACTCCTACCGAATTCATGTTCCACTCTATTATTTCATTTTACAAATATAAGTCATTTAAAGGTCACATAAACCTAATATATTTATTTACTTTGCATTTAGTCAATCATGTATACGATTTTGGGTGGAATCCCGATGTTTGGGATTTCTGGTTCCACGAGTTAAAGGTTCACGAGAACCCTAGTGCGAGCTGCGAAAAGCAAAGACGGAAGCCGGCCTAAAAAGAAAACCATACGGAAGAGAGACAAAGAGTAGCTCGAACAAGAGAATTAGACGAAACTCGAGTGCAAGTTCCATTTCCCAACTGAAAATGGTAACGGCCCATACATCAGGCCGTCGAAACTCTCTCTCACACGCCCTCCACCTTTTTCAAATTCTCTCTCTAAGAGATTCAACTTTCACACGCATCACTCTCTCTCCTGCATATAAGTGCAATCCCACATGCATCTCCTTCAACCCCCTCTCTTTCTAAAGAGCAATAATGGCCTCTCCCCTCGCACAGTTTGCCCTCACCTTGATGGTGGCCATCACTTGCACAGCATCACTAGCATACTCACAAGCACCCTCTCCCTCACCTACGGATGAAATAGGGGCTCGGTTCGAGGATTGGATGGCCCTACATGGCCGAACATATGACAAACCCGAGGAGAAGGAGCGTCGCTTCCTCATTTTTCGACAAAACGTCGAGTTTATCGATTCTTTTAACATGGCCAAAAACCATTCTTTTGAGCTATCTGCTAATGGATTTACCGATATGACTAACAAGGAGTTTGTTGCCAAGTACATGGGACTCAAGCCACAAAAGCAAGGAGGTAGTGAAATGGATGACGTAGAGTTTGGCCATGGGAATGTGACACACATACCGGGTAGCATGGATTGGAGGCAAAAGGGTGCGGTTACAGCGGTCAAGAACCAGGGAAATTGCGGTTCTTATTCCTCTCAATCGTCTATTTTTTTTAAGCATTTAACATGTTAAGGGGTTCTGTTTTTTAGCTTTTAAATTTTAATGGGTAGGAATGGAACCTCTAATCAGCACGCTACCTAGCCCATGGAGAACGAGTCCCCATTTCTTTCCTTTTTATCTTTTTCTTTGGTTATTAAGTTTTAAGGATGATATTATTATGGAAAAAAAAAAAATTTAACCCAATAGAAATATGATCCAGAGAGATTGAGGTTGGCATGGTCTTGAGGGACTGAGGTTGACATGGTCCAGAGGGACCGAGGTTGGCAATATTCTTTGCCGAGACTCAAAAATACAAATATAGTGCAATATTAAGCTCTATTGATAAACCTTGATCTTTCACGTTATCACCATCCATAAAAATATGGATGGTGATTGACTTGCCCAGCTATAAATTACCAAAGTGGGTGATATCTTACTATCAAGGTCCCTCCTCTCATGCACTCTAGTTTCTGCCCTTCTTCATTATATGAAAAATCATATGACCTAAATATTATGTTCTTAATAGAAATAATAAGCATTACAAATACATCATAAGAGACCACTCGATAAGGACTAATCCTCCCTACACAGGTGGTTGCTGGGCTTTTTCAGCAGTTGCAGCCTTGGAGGGTATAACAAAGATCAAGACCGGAAAATTGGTGTCCCTTTCCGAGCAGCAGCTTATCGATTGCGACACAGAAAACGACGGCTGCATGGGTGGCTACATGGTCACCGCATTCCAGTACATCCGTGCCAATGGCGGTCTCAGCACAGAGTCGAACTACCCTTACCAGGCCGCAGATGGAAACTGCGACACTCGTAGGGCATCTTATCATGCGGCCTCTATCAGAGGATACAGGGAGGTACCAGCTAACAATGAGAATGAATTGTTGAAGGCAGTGGTCCAACAACCTGTATCAGTAGCCATAGATGCAAGTGGCTATGCCTTCCAGTTTTACAAGGGCGGGATCTTCTCAGGCGCGTGCGGGACCGAACTGAACCATGGGGTCACGGCCGTGGGTTATGGGGCACAGGATGGAAAATTGCATTGGCTAGTGAAAAATTCTTGGGGCTCACGGTGGGGGGAGGGTGGGTACGTGAGGATGGAGAGGAACATTGGCAATAAAGAGGGCATATGTGGCATTTCAATGATGGCTTCTTATCCCCTAAGATAGACATGTTACTATTGTTGGTTGTGTATCGTCTTAAGGAAAAAAGCAAACACATACGCAAAATGATTAATAGTTTTTATTATGTTTCCGTTGTGACGTACGTTAGATCTTGATTAGATGATTGAAAATATAAATATGTAAAATGATTAATAGTATTGATTATGTTGGCGTTGTGTTGTTGGATCTTATCATATGATTGAAATATATGTTTCTATTTGAATTTTACTTGTTTATAAATGAAATTTAAATTTTTTTAAGGAGAGTTTGGCCATTTTGAATTTTAGAAGATATTTGTTTTATATATTTTTGTATGGTGCATGATGGAGTGCGGTGTATACTCCTAAAATTTCAGCGTAAACTTCTATTTAGAAAGAATAAATTAAATAGTGATGTATTTTGTCAACCATCTGATCAAAGATCGGATAACCTAAGTACTATTCATTTTAGATATACCCTATACTTGACACCATCATGCACTATATAAAATTATAAAAATATATTTTCCCATCATGTACAGGGAGTAGTTTGGTTATTTTAAATTTAAAAAATACTTATTTTAGATTTTTTTTGTTTGCCCTAATATGTATTACACATTACCAAAATTTCATCGTGATCTAATTTATAGAAATAATTTTAAATTTTCGACCATCCAATTTAGATGCGACAATTGTGAGCATAACCTAAATTACAATTCATTTTAGGTGACAACCTATTGGTTAGGGGTGCTAACCGATCAGGACAGGGCCGGCACGTGGCTTGGAAAAGACCGAATTGTTTGGACCCAAAAAATAAACTTTAAAAAGGCCATGTCCGGAAAAGCCCGGTAGTCTGCTGCTGAAAGAAATCTTTGATCTGCTTCTGCAACTCCCTGCCATTCGGGTTCTCTCTCCCTCTTTTTTTTTTTTGTAGAAACCATTAAATATCCATTCAATTTCAAGACCCAACCATGAGTTTCTACAAAAAAGAGAGAAAAGAAGTCCGCACTAAGAACAACAAGAACCAAAACAAAAACTCAAGTCTTCTTCCCTTTCTCTGAATCCAAATCCCTTTCTTCCCAAGCACTATGAGACTTTTGAAAAGCAAAGGAACTAGAGCAGAAAGCCTAAACAAAAAAATCTGAAGAAAAATCAATTCCCTTCTATTCTTCAAAATAGAAGAAAACCCAAAACCTCTTTCAGAAAAAAGACAAGAAAAGAGGTAAAATAAAGAGAGAAAGAGTTAAGAACTAAGAGAGAGAGAGACTGTGTCTCCACAAGTGGAACTGCCTCAGTAACTCCATATAGAGCGGGGTTAGATAAAGAGAGAGTTAAGTAAACTAGGTTAGAGAGAGAGAGGATAGATTTGTTAGAGGGAGTGAGAAAAATATTGGGAAAATACAGAGAGATAGAGGATAGAATTTGAGAGATAAGAGGATAGATTTTTTAAAGAGAGAGAGTTGTTAAAGAAAGAAAGGGGTTGGGTGCTCATGTATCATATCACACATAAAATTTCAATTAGAAACACAAAAAAGAGAGGAAGAATGCACCCAACAAAACACATCACACATTGATCATTTATCTCTCTAAAATTATGAGAGAGGAGTGAGAAATGCCTCAAACTGGACTTGCGTCGACTCCATTAGAGGCCTTCTCTGGGACTTCATGAACCACTGGTTTGGTTAACATGTGGGCGCGATCTTTTGCCTCTTCCTCGTCTTCCTCCATGTCTATTGTGTTGAGGTTTATATAGGAACATCTCTCTAGAGAGGCAAAGAAAGCAGAGGCCATGCTTATCCCACCAGTTCCCCAAATCTCTGCAAAACTCAGAGAGAAAGATGGAACCCTAAGAACGAGGTCAAAGATTGGAGAGAGCAGAGAGGCAACTAAGAAAATTGGGTTTAGAAAGTTAAGGTTGTGAGAGAGTAAAAGAATATATTTTTCTTCTTCCGTAATAAATACCCCCACACCCACACAATTTTCTCTCTTCTCTCTCTTTTATTACATATATATATATATTTTTTAAACTTCTTCGTATACCTTGTTTTTTAGGTTTAATGATAAACTCAATGTTTTAAAAAATATATTTAACCTTTCGATCACTTTAAACCTACTTTTTAGCCTAAACAAATATAAAAAAGACATTTTATTTTTAAACACAATCTTTTTTCTCTCTTCACTTATACACTCGAAACTTCTCTTTTCTCTCTCTTTTTGCTTTTCTTTTCTCTCTCTTCTTGCATTTCTCTTACACTCTCTCTTTTATGTTTTTTCGAACACATCTCCCTCTCCTCCCGATAACCTCTCACCTCCGTGAAACCTTTATCTCTCCCTAGAAGGTTTGGATGTTGGCTTTTAAAAAATACATGCCCTTTTAAATTTGTTTGGCCTAAAAAAAGAGCTTTAAATTAATTCAGGGGTTTAGAAGAAATAAAATCTCAAATTTTTATGCTCCAAGATATACCTTGGGTCTATTGTGAAATAAAACATAAAAATAAAGGGTATGTAGATATTTTCCCTACATTTTTTAAAAAAGTATCTCCTCCCTCTTTTGTGCCACATGTTCTCCTTCTTTTCCTTTTTAATAAATCACCCCCTCCCCTCAACCCCTACCCCACACAATTTTTTCTTTTTTTTTGTCTCTCCCTCTTACAATTTTTTTTAAAAAATCTCTTATATCATTTTAAAATATCTCTCTCTATTTTTTCTATCTTGCAATAACTCTCAATAAGGTATAATAAAGAAATCCATTATTTCTCTCTCCCTGCCACGTTATCTCTTTTTTTACGTGCTATTTTTATTTTATTTTATGTAACTTGCAGTGCTTGTCATTAATTGCATCTAATGCCTCTATATGATAACTCCCATCTTAAATCTCTCCTATAGTATTCCCTTTATTTCACTCATCTCTTTCTCCTTTAAATCTCTCTCAATGTCTCCCTCCAAAAGGGCATGTTTGTTTTTTTGAAAGTATTCTTTTAGAAAATACTTTTTCAAATTTTTAAAAAGTTTCTCATTTATTTCACACTTTCCATCTAAAGTTCGAAAACTGATTTTTCAACAAAAGTTCTCTTTCCTTTGTTAAAAGGTGAAAGAATAAGTTCCTAAAGGGGATAGGAACTTAATCTTTTAGAACTTTTTTGTTGATCACTATTCACTTTACGTAATATAAATACATAATTATTAGTATTATTAAAATGATATAATATAACATAATATTATATAATATAATTTTATATTTTATAATAATATAAATAGATAATATAATATAAATATATAATATTATTATATATTACTAATCAATATATACTATATAATATAAATTGCATTAATAAATATAAATATATAATATATAAAGGGTGTGCTTTCCATAAGGTTGCAACCTTAAACAATTCAATTAAGGCGCACCTTCAAATTGGATCATAACATATAATTTTGGTGTTAAATATTTTTAGGTTTATTTTAAACTCTATTTTCATATCTAATTATAACATTTTAAACTTCAAAAATGGTTAAAATCAAGTTGATCTATAAACATATAAATTTTTTAAAAATGGATAGTCTAGATAATGTGTTGTAAGACACTGTTTTCCAGGACTCAATCCTTTTTTCTTGCATAATCATACATCTCGATGTCCTAATACTCAACTAGAGGGTTTTTCAACATTCAAATAACATTTTCCAATGGTTTTTTGAGGTGTATCAGTAGTTCTACATTTTAAGGTAGTTACCTTATGTAAACTTTTTCCATATATAATATATAATATATAATACATAATATTGATGTTATTATATCATAAATAATATATAAATATAATACATATTTATCATATTATATGTAATATTTATATTCTTATTATATATAATATGTATTTATATTATATTAAATATACATTATGTGTAACATTTTATAATATATATAATTTATATTATATATAATTTATATGTATTATATTATATAGAGCAATGATTTCATGTAACCGTTGTATAGTAATAATATGCAACAACCTTAAAAAATCATCTTATGGCCATTAATTTGATCCAAAATTTGAAATATACACTCTTTTTATTCTAATGAACAATTACAAAAAAGAAAAATTCGAAAACACAACCTAGAAAGTATTTTTTTAGTCCAATTAACATAAGCCATTCATTTTTGTGAGATGCTTAGATCTAGGCCCTAGAAGGATTGTTTCATTTCCAATTTTTTTGGATGTCTTTATTATCATTATATGAATAATATTAAAAAATCAAAAAATGATTTTGAGTTTATAAAGGCTAATATCTTGAAATTCACAAAATGAATGGTCTAGATTCGTTTTTGGAGGGGACTCATTTTGACCCTATCTTTGGTTCAAATTGAACTTTTTTTTGTTTTGTTTTGGGGATTGATTATTGAGATGAAGAGAGTGTGTGTACCAAATTTGGGGTCATACAGATACCGCAAACATGATTTTCTAGAAATGTCGTTGCATTATACTATGATACAACCATTGCATTAGATCATTGCTTTATATATATTATAAATAATATATTTATTATATTAAATAAAGAAAGATGCTGTAAAATTTCTATAAGTGAAAATAAATAATGATTTCGCCTACCTTCATCACTGTTTAAAGTTCATCTCACGGTCATGATTGTTTGGTAGTATTTTGTTTTTCATTGTTTTTCTACAAATCGAAATGATCTAAAATTTGGAGCATGCGTTCATTAAAAATAGCCGAACCTATAAAAAATATCAAAAAAATATTTTACTTGAAATAAATTGACCAAAATATCCCAAAAAAGTTTCAGGGGTATTTTGATCAATTTTATTTTCACGAATTATTATTTTTTATATTTTTATTAGGTGCTCTTCACTAAGATGTACCCATGCTTCAAATTTATGATAATTTATATTTATAAAATAAAATAAAATAAAAAATAAAATACTACTAGACAATCGTGTCCGTGCGATGAACCATGGACGTGATGAGCGTTGGCGAAATCATTGTTCATTTTCGCTTATTGGCATTGGGAAGACTTTTCCTAATATAAATATTATAATATAAGATATAGATAT